TGAAAAGCCATTCATTTCAGTTGAAAATATTTTGTGGACAGAAAATGGACTTCTCGGAGTAAAGATTGCCGCAAGAAAATTGCTAGAATAGGTATATACCTACCTACTTAGGCCACCTATCTTTATCTTGATTGCTCTATACATTATTCAATAACATGAAATTCCATGTTTGCTGCAAAGGTGACTAACATAATCAAATGAATTTCATTTTGTTTAGGGGTTTGTCCTAAGTTGATGGTTTTTTCGTAATACAATTATCCACAACATATTTATAATACAAATCCATGTTACAATTATCGATTGAAACCCAATAATCTTCTATTTCTTTCTTATTATTATTTAATATAGTTACTCTTTAATATAATTATTAATTAATTATAATTTACGTTATCTTCTATTCATCTTCAGTCTCTTCAGTTTTATTTGTCTTTGGTTTTTCAATGTCAACTTTCATAGCCATTAAGCAACATCACTCCATTTGTTAAAGCTATTATTTTTTTTCCTAAGAGTTATTACAATTCTAGGGATGTATTTAAAGCTTTTTGAATCTTTAGATATGGAGTACCAGGATAACATCTTGTTGAAATTATGATCATTAATCAATCTAAAAGTTTATAATTTCAATTTCAACGCCATATTTAAATTTGCTATTATTCTGATAACTCAAAATTTAAATTCTCAAATTGGCACTCCCACTAAAAGAATAATTATCGTGCTGGAAGTCACGATATCTTGATGGATAAATGGTGCGATATCATTCTAAATAATGTTTTGTTTCTGTAATTCAATAATTCCGACAGAAACGATGAAGTGCAATATCCTCAGCAATAACACACCTTAAAATGGAAAAATTTCATTTTTAGCTGACCTTTCGCTACGTATTATAGCTTTATCAAAATTTTTAAATTATTTATTTTTATTGTATGACAATATTTAATGACGAAAACAAATTGATCATCATAAATTTGGCTCTCTTGTTTTTTGTGATTATATATCAGAAGAAAATATTGGCTCACCAAACAACGAAAGTATGTATATTATCTTCTTCGTCATAATGGAAATTTTTGGATATAATTGGGGTTTTATGGTCTAAATTTCTAAAGGCAATATGCTCTCAAGTGTCTTCTTCGTTCGAAGTCATATCACTAGTATAATTGTTTGTTGATTGTTCTGTGTTATTTCGGTGAGTATTTGGTATTTGATAAATTTATTCGATAATTATAAATTGAACTCAGTTTTATATATGTTTTCTGCCATAGACAGTGTTTTTAAATTTTAACGTATGCAGAACATTTCTGAACAACTTTTATTTCTTCCAGTTGCTAAAATGTTTGTGTTCTTATTGTCGAATAATTACCAATTATCTGACCTCTAGTTCCTTCGAAACGATGAAAAAATTTGCAAATAATCTGCGTGTTAATGTGTGTGATAGAAAGGAAGAGAAAATAATAATTACAAAGTGGATATATTGAACAGTAATGGACCAAGAATGGATCCCTCCTGCACTGCTCAAGAAATATCTGTAGAATTGATCCAATGACTAAAGTAATGGAATAATTGCTTAAGATTGCTGAGATAATTTCTGAATAAAAGAAAGTGCTGAATTTAACTAATACAATGAAAAAAGGAAGCTACTAATGGTTGATGTTATAAAAAGTTTTGTAATAAACATTTAGAATTTGAAATAAAAGTATTTCTTTATCGATTGCTTTCAAAACTTGGTCAGTAGGTAATCTTCAACAATGCAGTAGTGCAACTTTATATTGACAAGTAAAACATGTTTTCAAGTGTGACATCTGTGAAATCAAAAGATCATCGAAAATTTTTGACATCATATTTTTTGACTGATTGGTCTTAAATCTTTATAACCCTCAGTACTGAATATTGACGGATTATACATGCAACCTTCAAAAATTCTTTTTCTATGTGAAGATTGACTATATGACATATATTTCAATATAAAATGAAATAAAAATGCTTCAAGAATTATTTCGTCAGGTGTCACACCACCTGGTTTATTTCGGGTTTTTGAGTCAACGATCTCAACCTCAGTGACCATAAAAATAAGTATGGCAATCCCGAAGGTATTCTAACCTGAACATTTTTGAACGTTTCTGCACGAAGTCCTAATTAAATTCTGTTTTATAAAGAAAGGTGGCTTTTTTCGTTTCTCTCAGCTTCATTTGTGTGATTTCCCAACTGATCAAAATGAATTGAAAAGTGAATGGTCTGGAGTATTTGTATTTTTCTAATTGAATATAACTTAAATTCAAACACTTGAACTTATGATTTACACTTTATTGACTACATAGCATGACACGTTTCGTCGTTACAAACGACTTCTTCAGATGCTTACAGAATAATGTAATATTATTCTGTAAGCATCTGAAGAAGTCGTTTGTAACGACGAAACGCGTCATGCTATGTTGTCAATAAAGTGTAAATCATAAGTTCAAGTATTTGAATTTAAGTTATATTCAATTATAATGGATTTACATCAAGTAAACGCCAACACTATTAAATAAAAAAAAATGTATTTTTCTATTCAGAAATTTTTATATAATTAGTAAATATTATTTATATCTAATGAAATTAGCATAAATTGAATGTCACGCAGGTCAATATACCTGATAGGGAAATCAATATGACTTTTTAATCTTTCATATACATGAACCTCATCTTCAGGGTTCAGTTCAGATCAAATACGATTTCAGTCAAAATGATGAAATGTTTTCCTCTCGTTTCTCTGCTCTTATTACTTATTTGGGTGACTTTCCTCGTTAGTTATATTATTATTATCAATTATTCATAGTGCATATCATATCATATATTCTCCCAAATGTAATTACTCTTCGTTTTCAACTTGAATCAATAGTGAACTTGAAAATAATATAAGAATTTCATAGTTCCATAAATTATATAAAAACAAACCATTAACAATATGTTACTGGTACATTGAACAAATATAAAAATGAAAAAGGAAATTTATGAAGAATAATATATTTGAATTGGAATTCAGAAAAGAGATATTATCATAAAATCTCTGTTTTTAACCTTAATACCAACTTCAGAATATTTTGAAGATCGAAACTGTGCATTGAATTTTTTTTTAATATTGAGGCCCTCTCAATATTCACAGAAATAATTTTAGAACATCAGTAAAAACCTTTGGATGTCAGGAATGTTCATTCATCAACCTACCAAACCATCTTGAATTGTTAAATTTTTATTGGCTCCCTCAATATTCACAGAAATAGTTGTAAAACATACGTAAGTAAAAAGCTGTGGATGTCAGAAATTCCTCCACCTTCAGTATAGGAATTTCATCTAGCTACCATTCATCTACCAATCAAAGCATCTTGAATTATTTAATTTTCATTTTAGGCTTTCTTCACGTTCTAATAGAGAAATTAAAGACTCAAGTCTCATTGGAGATTATCATAGTAGAAAATAAGTAATAGTTATCCTCAGCAATTGTATATAAGATCTGCAATGTGTATATTCTGTGTAATATTCACTTACCGCCTCCGTTTTGTTGGCATAAATATGGAAACCTCCAAATATTTCCTAAGCCAACTGAATATCCTATAATTGACAAGAAGAATTGCATTTTTCCTGACCATGCTGCTCTGTCTGGATCTTCCTCTACAGTCGCACTTCCCCTCGATATAATCGAGCCTCTAGGTCCTTGAAGAACAATCGTAACACCTTTACCTTCGCGGCCTGCTTTCGAATTAAGGGGGGCCAATTCATGCCCACTCTTTGCTAGTTCAGGGGTTTTTGTAGTAGTCATTTCAAACTAGAATTAATATTTTTTCAGCGCAAACGTTCAGTATTCACTTATTTATTCGAGTTAATTGTTCTAAATATGAAACCGAATTTGAGTATTTAATTCTTATTCGTTAACCCATCGCGAGAAATTGTTTTTCTGTTGTTACAATTTGCTTCTGTGGAAATTGGGTGAACGTTGAGATAGGATCAATAATTCGCATGTGCTTTCAAACGAATTTCGCTCTTATAGGTTATGCCTCTGATATGACGCATTCGTAGTACATCGTGGTTCGCCAACAACTGAAGGTTAGAGTAACCCTCTGGATCGGGTTGGGATGCACGAACGCGTTCGATCCTGAACACCGTAAGTTGGAACGGTTTGGAAACCACCGAGAAAAGCAGTTTTGATAAACCTCATTCAGTCTATTCATGCAATAATGGAAAAACCTGAATGGAAATCTGAGGTTTAATTGGATTGGATCTATTCAGAGCACACCTACGCGAATCGTTGCAGGTGATGGTAAAATTGCATATAAATGGTCAATAAATTTAGTCTCTCCTACATCTGAAGGCAAAAAAAATGGGCGTCAATGAATAAAATAATCAACTCCAATTTTCTGCATTTCCTGAGAAAAAGAGTTTGAAATATTGTTCTTGAAATATTGTACTATTCAATTCAAAATTACCTTATCAATTTTATGATGAAACTAGCTGACCCAAACTTGCGTTACTGTGACTCAATAGGTATAATAGCTTCAATTCATTTTTCACTGATTATTTCGATATAATCAAATCAATATTTGCTAATGAAACTGAGATATTGTGGCTGATTTTAAATCCTCTTAAATTGAGAATGAAAGGTGCTGTCGAAACTGAAAAGATATAGGCGATGTATCTGGACGTTAAAATTAAACACAAACCAAGATATTCGTTTCAAATTTACATTTTGTTTATCTTGTTTTCAGATTTTTAGGCTTAGATGCATAATGACTTTATGCACAATAACTTACAAAAATGACTACAAAAAGCATGAATTTTATGAATGAAGTAGGTAATATCTGTTGATAATTATGAAAATCATTCAAGCATCAGTGGTCATGACTTTTTTTTTCAATTCAGTGGCCCTACAGTTTAACGAAGGTTTCCCAATAACCATTTGTCTTACAGTCAATGTACATTACCCAGCATATATAATTATTTAATCTACTTAAATCATAGACAAACATCCATGCCTTCATCGAGGCTCGAACCCGAGTTCTATCTCACCATAGTGGGTGTTCTTCCAACTAAACAACGGAGGCCCGGTTATGTCGTGAATATGAACAAATCGTATTTTGTATGTGTAGGTAACCTAAATGTCGAACGATATTACACAAATTACATAAAACAATAAAATACATAAATACAGGTGTATGCAATACCGAAAAAATATTGTAGTGGACAATATATTTTTGAAAATTTTCGGTGGAAGATATATTTTTCAGATTCTTGAAATGTGTTTGATTTATTAATAAGTTGAAATGGGTTTCAACACGTATCTCTCTCCTCAATGAACTATGTGTATATTTCATTCACAGTATATACATTACGGATCGAATTACCCCAATTATAATCAACATTCAATTCGAAATAACAAATATTGAGATAAAGAATCGAAAAAAATCTATCCTATCTCTCAAGATGAACCAAACTACAGTTATTACGGATTTAGATCAGAATCGGTTCAGTAGTTTCAGAGTTTATCCCAAACATATATCAATTATATGGTCTAATATCAAAATAATTTGTGATTAGTATATAGGATAGGCCATTTGATTCAACGGATTTTTCAGTCGATATTGTACGACACAAAATATTCATGTAACCAGCGACGCTGTGACATTCATTTCTGATAACGTAACCCAGGATTTTAACATGCTTGGTTCACCAGAAATTTTGGACTTCTTTCAGTGGGTTTGGAATAATTAGAGCCACCAAGGCCTAAGGAAAATGTGATTGCTTTTGTAAATAAATATTTGCCCAATCTGTTTTTATTCGGAATAATATCATTTAACACCTACGATTTTTTTCACTCTTAATACACTCATATGGCCGATATTTTCATTGTCTTTAATGGCGATGTGTTTTTTTTTGGGGCCTCTTTCACAGGCTAATGAGGGGGGGTGTTAACACGAAAACCATCATTCTCGTTACGCTACTAACTTCATTTGATTTATTTCGATTTTTTGAGTGAAAATCATAAATTTATTCATAAATTAATGATTTCAAATAATTAATTCATTTAAATCATAAATTTATAAAAAATCATGTTTTATTCAATATGAATATCATTATGTGTATATACCGGTAAATATTTAAGTTCTACAAACATTTTGCATGTTTGTCCCTGAAATGAGGATGGAGCGCGCTAATATCTCAACCTATGAAAACCTAAATCTATATGAACATGTCTATTTAAACACAAATCATGAGATGTTACGTGTTCATATAGATATTTCAATTTCGAATGCATACCAACAGTTTAGTATACCTATATGTTTGTCGTTCTTATGATTAGACAGTATACCATAAAATGAAAATCGGAACTTCATTTTCTCTACTTTTATCGTTTAGGACACCGATTTCAATGTTCTTTAACATTATCCCTTGAAGGACAGTCACTTTTCATATGCTTATATAGCCTGCGAGTCATCTTTCAACGAGATATTCATTTGGACCCATTCCGTTCTTTCGATTTCGAGTACTATTTTATATTCATAATAATCTTTATTTATTCTTTTAGCTAGACAGAAACAAATGTATAGGACATATATATATATATATATATATATATATATATATATATATATATATATATATATATATATATATATATATATATATATATATATATATATATATATATATATATATATATATATATATATATATATATATATATATATATATATATATATATATATATATATATATAAAAGAAAGTCGTGTTAGTTGCACTAATTATAACTCAAGAACGACCAAACTGATTTGGCTGAAAATTGTTGGGGTGGTAGTTTAGAACCAGAAGAAGGACATAGGATGCGTTTAATCATGTTCCCGTGGACGTGACATAAAACGTGGTATAACAAAACACAACTGATATGGTGGAGGCGCATGATTTAACTGTCTGGAGATTTCTGCCAAACACTGCCAGTAATTCCAAGATCAACTGCTGTAGACGAAATGAGCGCTTGCCTTAAAACATCGAAACTATGGTGCTATGTGAAGAAATTTCACATGACAACAAATATGGGAGTTATCTACTGAAGATTTCTCTGAGCAATTACTGACAATTGGCAATAGTTGAGTACCTGTCGACGAATCGAGCGGATTGATTCCATTTCCTCCAAATTTCTGTAACTTTTTCTCATCAAAAGACGAACTCTGAATTACTGGTACAAATTCCCGAATAGTACCAGAAAAATATATCAATATTCAGGAGAATTCTGCTTGATAATAGTTATCCACTTAAACTGATCAATAAATTATTGAGAGCTTGCAGCAATATAAACAAACCAGGAATATATATATATATATATATATATATATATATATATATATATATATATATATATATATATATATATAGTATAGTTTTCAGAGTCGTATTTAATGATATAGTAAGCGAGGTTAGGGTGTTTTCGACTCAATTGAGCAATTATTGTTTGTACTCTTTTTTCTCAGTCAAGCTTTCCCAATATTTTATTGCATCTTCAGGACTTCTACAATTAACAAAAAGTGTCAAACAGAACATGTTCAAATGGCAAAATTATAATAACCTTACCAAATTTGAGGTTAAAATATAAACATGACACATCTACAACAGTAGCTATGATAATGATAACATGTACAAGAAGTACTTAAATTATGTAAAAGAAATTTTCAAAATAAACGATTCATTAGAATTTTCTCAACACTGTAACCAGTTTAGTATGAAATGTCAATATAACATATATTCGACACATGTCATTTGTCAATTTAGTTGATTTGTCATGGAATCAGCCTCAGTTATATCTCGAATCATCCAACTGCCATTATCTTAAATTTTATTGAGAAGGTATGAGTATATATTGCTCAGTTTGTTTATATCAGTTTTTTTATTGATTGTGGCTTCGCATTTTTTTATTTGTATCATTTCGTGCATGGTTCTTTTATGATAATTTGGTTCTTTTTTCAATATCTCTACCTCATAGAAATCTATTTTATGGTCTTTTTTATGTGCATGTTCTGCAAGTGCACATCTTTCTTTATATTTAGTAATGTCACTTTTATGTATTGCTAATCTGCTTTTTAGCCATTGTGAAGTATGACCTATGTATTTTTCTTCACAATCTATGCAATTTATTTGGTAAACAACATCACTTTGTAATTTTTTAGGGACCTCATCCTTCAGTCGGGAATATAACGATGCAACTGTCTTTGGATTATACGATGATATTTTTACATTAAATTCTTTGAATATACTTTTCAGCTGTGGTGTTTTTTGTATATAAGGTAAGGATCCATAAAAACATCTGTGTTCTTGAGTTGAATTGTCAGGTTCGGTAATCAGTTCCGGGGGAGGTAAAATATTGGGAAAGCTTGACTGAGAAAAAAGAGTACAAACAATAATTGCTCAATTGAGTCGAAAACACCCTAACCTCGCTTACTATATATATATATATATATATATATATATATATATATATATATATATATATATATATATATATATATATATATATATATATAAGCCACTATCAAAACTTCCTTTCCTTCACAATTTGGGCCGAATCAGAGTGCTTCTACTTTTGTATATATCTACCCAAAATTATTGATTACTAATATATTTCGTTGTTACCCGGAGGTCCTCGGCAATTTCCGCCAATATCCCGGACCCAGACATTGGACGAGCGTTTGCGTATATCCAGGTATGACAAAAGTTTGTGAAATAAGGAGGTCGCGGAATCTATTGGAATTTTCCACTGACCAGATGCGTTCATCAAAAAGTGCGTACACACTACCTGATCAACCGGACATTTTTGGAAATATTTTCCGAGTTCAAAATCACATCATCTTCTATCCTGAATGAAAATTATAGTCGAACGTTGTTTTATTTTTGAATTCAATATATTTTGAAAGACGAAATCGTATGCAAAGATTGTAATATAGATTACGAATAATCCAGGCAATGACTGGAAGAGATTCTCAAAGAAAAAGAATTTTTGGATGTTTTGGTATTCTATAATAATATGTTCTGTTGTTTTTCAAAAAAAAAAAATATCCAATCTGTATTTTAAAATTAAATATACTTTAATCCATTTTCTGTCTCATCTATCTGAAATTCAAAATCGAGAACTGAGTTGAAGGTTATCTCTCTATGACGCATATAAAAACAATACATAAACCTCATGAGGATCCAAGAGTCTCGAAAATCTTTCGAATAATTTATGACCAGCTTACTCCAAACAATTTTGAAAAAAATCTTAATTTTTTTTTCTTAAATTGCTACTATATACTCGTAGAAATAGCTCGAACACCTTCGGTTGCGGCAGCTGCTGCATGCCTTCAGGTCGTCTTATTGTTTTGTTCTTCGTTTTATTGTTATTGTCTTGTTATTTTGTTGAACTGCTTTGAAAAATGCAAGAATTCTTCAGAATGATGCTTACGAAGACCAGAAAGGAGTTGTGTATAAAGCTGGAATGGAAATGTGAGTAAAATTCACGTTTTTACGATTTTTCACGAATAAAAATTTTGAAATAATTCTTCTCCGAACCACGATTTTTCGCACGAATTACACTCTCATTTCAAAATTATTGCACGATATGAACCAAACGGCATTTTACTCTTTAGATGTCTGGCCTCAAGCAGAACCAGAAATATTCATTATTATCTAAAAAGTTATAAACAATTAAAAGTCAAAAAAAGGAAAAAAAATTCAAAAGTCTGCCATTTCGTTTTTTTTTATTGAAAATGTTTCATTGTACTTGAGGTCATAGCCAATTCGATACAGAACATGAAACCGTTTTGTTTTTTGCTTTCAGATAATTCTTTTCCAAGAAATGATGTCTTTCATCTCTGATTCAGATGAGTTTCAGCAGCCATTTTCAGAACCGCCATTTTGAAAAAAAATATATTTTCAAGTAATTTCATATATGTGCTTTCATATGTAAATAAATACGCAACATGTTTTGTACTATAAATAGAATAAATTGAAAAAAATTACGTTTTTTGAAGTAAGCTGGCCTTGAATAAAAATAAACGAAATTCAACAAATTAATTC